ATAAGCAACATAGCAAAACCGAATTATTTGCCGAAATACCATTTTTTCCAAAAATAATTTAGGAGATCATCTTTAGTTTGAACCAAACTTGAATTAAACTTTTTGATGTGTTCAAGAAAGATTTGAAGTTCGAACTGAATCAAACTCGAACTAAATCAAACTCGAACTGAACCAAACTCGAACTGAACTTGTTGAACTTGAACTGAACTTGAACTGAATCAAATTTTGAAATTCTAATAAGAGCTCAGTAGAAAAATAATAAAATAAATATAAATTAATTCAAATATATTATTTTATATAAATATATAATATATTAAGTAAATAAATATAATATATATCAATAAATTATTAATTAATATTAATCATAATTATATTATTCAAATTAAAATTAATTTCTAATAAAAACTAATTTTTAATAATATTTATTAGCAATCAATTATCAATATTCTTATTAATTAACATTTAATATAATTATATTCAAATACTAATTATATATTAGTAATCAATTACAAATCATATTAATTAATAATTAATTATTAATATTCCAATCAATTAATATTAATTATAATTATAAATAATTGTAAATTATTCTTATTAATAATTGATTATTAATCATATTTATTAGTAATTATTAACATTCTTAGTAATTAATTAGTATTAATTGAGATTACAATTAATTACAAATAATTTTTATTGATAATTAATTATCTATTTTATTTATTAATAATTAATCATCAATACTTTATCAATTAGTATCAATTGTGATTATAATTAATTACAAATAAACTTATTGATAATTATTCTTATTGATAATTAATCATCAATATATCATTATTTTTTATTACTAGGATTTATAATTAATTGTTAATAATATTTTTTAATAATATTTAATTTCAATTGATTATCAGCAATTATAATTAATTATAATCACTGATAATTGATTGAAATTTCTATCAATGGTAAATAATGAGAATATTAATAATTGATTGTTAATAAACATAATTATAAATCAATTATTAATGAATATAGAAATTTTTTGATATTTATAATAATTATTCATAGTATTTATATTATTAATTTGTAGATTAATTTTATTAATATTATTAATTTAATAAATCAATTTCATTAATAGTATTAATCTTATAAATCATTTAATCACAAATATTATCAGTATTTATACAAGTATTATTAATATTAACACAAGTATTAATATTATTAATACAAATAAAAATTTTTAATTTATATTAAAATAAAGATTATAAGTTATATTATAATATATATTTTTTGAATTTTTTAGTAAAGTTATTCTAATTATAAAATTATTACAAAAATTTTTTAAAATAAAATATAAAATTAATTATAAGAAATTTTTATAATAAATTTATAATTAAAATAACTGTCAAAAAAAAATCTAAAAAATTCAGAATATATATATATATTTTATTAATAAAATTTTATATATTATTTTATAATTCTATTAATTATTATATAACTTATAATCTTTAATTTAATATAAAATAAAAACTTTTATATATAACAAAATTTTAATTTTTATTATATTTTATTAATAAAATTATATATATAATTTCATAATTTTATTAGTTATTAAATATTTTTTCTGGATTTTTTAGATTTAATTTTTATATAAGACAAAAATTTTAATTTATTATATTTTATTAATAAATTATATGTAATTTTATTAATTAAAAATTAATTAAAATAAAGTTATTAATTTTAAAAATAATTTAAAATATAGTAAAAAAATTAAAAAATTAGCTAAAACTCTTTAGAAAAGAGCCAGAAATTTTGAAATTAAATTAAAAATTTATTGAATTAACTAATAAATTTCCAGAATTTAAATAAAAAATAATAACTCAAAAAAAAATTAGAAAATTATTAGAAAAAAAACTAATTTTTTAATTTTTTTTTAAATAATTTCCTGATTTTTCTAAGCAATATTTTTAAAAACTTAAAAATTATTAAAAATTTCAATATCATATTTCTAATTTAATTTAAAAAATAAAAATTATTAAATTATAATTAACTTTCTTTATTATTATATTATTAGATCTAATAATAATTTTTTTGTAAATATAAATATAATAAGCTTTTATTAATAAAAATAATTATAAAGAAATTTAATTATATTTTCAATTACATATTTTTATTGTTTTTAATTTTAAATAATATTTTATGTATTTGTTTTTAAATTATTATTTTCTTGTTTTTATTATGAAAAATATAATATTATTTATTACAAATATAAATAATTATTTTTATATAATCAATAATCAAAATATAAAAACAAATACTTTTTTACATTTTAACCAAATTAACCAAAATGTGATCTTTACAGATTTTTTTTGTTTATAAACTTGTAGTACTTTTAGTATTTAGTAAACTTTTTTTGTTTAATTATATTTTTTAATTTTATATTAGTTTCAATTATTAAATTGTAAATTTAAAAGCATAAAGAGATTTATTTATATAAAAATTTGAATATAAACCGAGTTTTATCAGATATTTTAGAATCAGATATTAAAAGATTTTTAGGATACAAGCATATAACTTGTGAATGTAGAATTTAACCCCACATTTCGGTAAACCAATCAGAAAACCCGTAATTCAAACTTTGTGGCTCGTGTGAAATAAGCTGCTCAATTTCTTCTCAGTATCATATGAAAAACAAATTCGGGGTAAATATGTGTATCTGAAATTGTAGGGTGGCACTACAAGAAATTGAGAGAGCATCATCAACGTGTCACCCGTTACTATCAAATAATAGTTATATATAAATATATATTATTATTTATCCCTTTTCTAGGCATTTTTTGTTCGAAATATTACCAAGATCGTTCGTCTGTTTTTCTCACTCCGAAAATGGCCTCACTCAGCAATAATGCAAACAGTGGCAACAACAGTAAATCTGTTAAAGACATTGAGTCTCTTTGTACAAATGTACTCTCTTTGGTACTTTTAATTTATTATTTTATTTACTAAAATCATTTTATGGGTTGTGCATGTGCAGTATGAGGATTCGGCTCATGAATTGTCTCTTGAAATATACATAAACTTTAATGAATAATAGGCGGGCGTCTCTAGCGTTGGTTGGAGAAAATATACATTCACATGTAGCTTGAAACAACTATGGATTTTCTCACGTACAGCAATTAAAGAAAATTGTAATCGTTATGCATATAGTGAATTAGACTCGAACAAAGACTCGTTATGCTGGATACGAGATCCTATAATAGCTAATCAAATTAAATTATTAAACCTTGGAATTCCATGTGTGTGGCGATATGCTAATATTAGTACAGACCATCAACAACATAAACAGCAAGCTGAAAATTCTAACCGAATAATAGACCAGATAATTCGGCGAAAAATTATTAGTGAATCTTTTCATTTAGAAGAAAAGAAAGAAGATGACAAGCAGGAGGTAACACGAGAATTATGGGTGTTTTGGTTAAATCATCAGGAGAAGCCAGAAGAAATAAATAATTTGGATGGATTGAAAGGTTTGTTGAGGAATTTTATCTTGTGAAAAATTAAAAAACAAGCGCATACATTTATTAGTTTGCGAGTATATCCTCTTCCTATGTCAAGATAATTAGTTTCTCGTGAACAAATTATAAGTGTGTGATCATACATTTCTCTTCAATTGATCAAATATCAATGATATTATTATAGATTCATCAGAACAAGATTGCTATTTCTCCTGGGAACAATTAGAATCGCCTCCACCAGAATATGGACTATTTCTAAAAGCATATAGAAATTTAATCAATCGGTAAGTTGAATTCTTTATAAATCCCACTAATAGTTAAAATTATTCTGGATTTTATCTATATACTTTTCTTATTAGGTCAATGATATCTCAAGGGGGAATACCAATAGGGGAATGGTATGCATTCCCAGCATTATCAAATAAAACCGTTGATGAAGGGTAAGCTTTATTAGAAATTCATTATATTATATTATATTATATTATATTAAACAGATTAATTGATACCTTCTATACATATATTTTGACCTTAATTCCCAAAGGACATTATCATGTAAATTCGATATGCATTTAACATCCACAAGTCTTATTTTTCAACCAATTGTAAAATACCGCAAAATACGACCACTACAAACCTCCGACCTAAAGAATCCACAAACGCCGCCATCTCAACAAACCGTCACTAGAGTGCTAATAGCTCCAATCGGCATCGAAGCCGAACTGGTAATTTCACCAGACTCGAAATGTTCGCATCACGACAACGCCGAATCAATATTCGCGGAATTTTACGATTTCTTTAAACTGGACCTATTTTGCTCGGAGCCAGCGACTCAAGTATTCGATTCTACTCTGCCGGGGTTAGTGAATGTACGAATTAATATCGATGAAAAGATTGTAGAAGAAATTCCGTATCCTTCGAGATGTATTTATTTCATTATTAACAATAATAATAATGAAAGGATTATTAGTGAAGGATTAGTGCCCGGGATCGGAAAAAGGATTAGCGCATTGGACAAAATGCACGGTGAACCGGGAAATTGGCTGCTGTGCTCGGTAGAAAGAAAAACACTGCCAGAAAAAGATATTGAATGGTGGAACTTTAATAATTATCTTGATGATATTGATTCAAAGTCAATTTACCATCAAAATAGTCATCATCACCATCATCATCATTATTATCAATATCAGAATCAACAGCAAAGATACCCAAAAGATAATACTGGATCAACATCCTCAATATCAATACTAGAAACAACAATGACCCCAAATACTCCTGGAGTTGGCAACGACACTTCAAATACGAACTCACCTGGTAAACCACAAACACCACAAACTAAACATTCGACAAATGTAAATACTTCTGCACACGAAACAACATATCCATCACCACCGGATCCAACGGATCCTGCAACGTATATCCCTGCGGAATATTCGGCAACTGAAGAGGATGCTCTTGCTTTACCAGCACAGCCGATTTTTAGTCATGTCAGTGAATCTGATTACGGGGACGTTACTGAAGATGATTTCAATTTCTTTGGAAATGTTTGTATTAGATTTATTTTTTTTTTCGTTGATGAATAAATGATCACAATTAGTAATAACAATTAAATCAATATTATTAAATTATCTTTTTAGCAACCTACCTCCACTACAAATAACAATTATGCATCAACTCCAGAAGTGCCCGGTTCAGTACGTCCTGATGATCATCTTTCTTTAGATACACCAGCCATACATCAAAGTCCTGCTCCAGTACATCATCATCCTATTATTCCAGATCTATCCTTTATTGTAAAGCCAATCCAAAATCCTCTAGTACCTCCAAAATGGGCTCCGTTGATATTTCCACACGTTGATGTCTCAAAATTTGCTATTCATCATAATTCAATTGTTAAAAGCAGCAAAAGGAAAAACTACGATACTTATTCTCCCGATTATCGACCAAAATTCTTGCCGAAAAGAAAAAAAGCGAAAACTGACACTAATAATAAAAAGGCCGAGACTAAAAAAAAGAAAAGCAATTCGCTTGAAGAGAGTGAAACCGCTTCATCTTCCGAAGCATCGTCGTCCGATACTTCGAGCGATAACGAGAATAGCGAAAGCGATGATACAAACGCTGGAACAATCGATGATTCATCAAATTTAAAGCAACTTGCTGATGTGAAATTAGAAGCAGCAAAACCAGAAATTGATAAGAACAATACTTCAATGAACATTATCAACTGTGCGAGATTTGTTATATTATTCGACAGTCATTATGATTCTCGGAATGTTCCATTTTTTTACCCTTATCTCGAGATAAATGAAAATGATTACTGTGGAAAAAACGCAGTGTATTTGTTGCGTGATCAAATAGTTTTCGGATCGTACCCGTACGCTGGTGAACATATAGAAGGAGGTGAGACCACTAAAAAAATTCAGGATAGACAGAGGTGCTTAAACGATTCTTTCAAAGGAGGCAAGTTTATTTCCTTTTTGATCGTCATTAATTAAATTAATTCATCAAATATTAAATTAATCACTGATAATTATAATAGAGTTGGCTACATCACCTGCTTATCCAAGCGAAGTCAAAGTTGTTATACAAAAGTTGAAGTTAGTCTTGAACGATATAAAGAATAATTTTCCAAAACCAGGTCAAGACATGCAACTAAGCATTAAAGGTCCTCTCAAAATGTCCGAATATCATGCGTTAAATGGTAAATCATTAATAATATTATTCAAATCTATAATTAATTTTTAATTAGCATATTTACTATACTCTCAGAACAACACAATCAACAAAAATATTCAAATACCAAGTTCGTATCGAAAACAAAACAACTCAACTGTCAAATACTCAACGCAAAGGATCTAGTAGTCGGATTCAAAAGTAAGTATCATATAGAAGTCTCTACTGACCAATTGAGATTTTGGGAACGTCATAAACTCGAGCCACCTGAGGGAAAGAAAAGAATTTCGTATTTCGTGTTGCATCCTGAATGCGAAAATTTACAATCACGTATCGTGACTTTCTTTAAACAGATAAATCGCACATTTATGGTAATTTTTCTGTTTTTTTATTATTATAATATTTTCTCTATTTTTTTTTTGCATTGTTATATTCAATACAATAATTTTATAATAGAACTGTGAATTAGGCTCACATTCCCATGAAAAACTGGATCATTATCCCCAAGGGTTGATACCAGTTAAATTATTAGAAGGTTTGCTTCATTATATTTTTACCTTAATTATATAAATATGAACATAGAAATAAATACTAATGCGAATTCTTTAAACAGCTCATGACAATGAATCAGATACTGCACGTGCTCTTCGTAGTTATCTCGAAATAATCCAATCGCTGAGTAATTATTTTTTTTCTATATTCATGTGTTCTCTATTACGATAATAGTATTAATAGTGATTTTGTATTAGGACCTAAACTCGCAAAACTACTTCGCACTAAACAAAGTCAAGGAACATTAGATTACCTGATGATATATATTGTAAACCCATTCACCCATTCAACAGCATACTACGACATGTGTAAGGTTTTTGCCACACTACAAACACAACTGAAACCCGAACTAAAGAAACTAAGATGCGATACAAAACTCGCTGATAATGTTACCTTTCAAGTAATGCCGATAGATCATATAATAAAATTTAGTATTAATGGTGGTTCGTATAGACAAGGACTTGTTGATATTGCATTCTCCATATATACACGATCAATGGTAAGCATTCGAATACGAATAAAGATTTTTTGATAGTCAATTTTGGTTATTTAACAATTTTTTATTATCTTATTATTCCGTTCATAAAGTATCCCAAAAAATACGATGCTCCTTACATTTTACTAACCCCTGAGCCAATCGCCGTCAATTTCCAAAACGCCGAACAACCTCCGTCAATTCGTGATTTAATAACGAGCGGAGTCACGCTGCACATGGCATACGGATATAGTCCGGATAGACGATGGTTAACCAATGTCTTCACTAATAACATTGGAAATATATTAGATAGTAGTATACTCCCTATGATAGTCTCTAATCTCAAGGTAAATAACCTTTTTTTTTTTAATTGATTGAATTTTCTTTTATAAATATGTATATTTGTTAATATTAATACTTATGATATTTTGAATTTAGGTGCCTCGTCGTACGCTATTAGAAGAATCGTGGAAACGAACGTTATTGGTAAAGAAAACAATGGAAGACTCGCAACAAATTGTGTGTCAAAATATAATAATTTGTAAAATGGGACCAATGGTTGAGGAGGAAAGAAAGAGTAAGCTACACTTTTGGATTTATATTCATTTTCGAATTTATCATAAAATTGCATTCTAATCATCTCTCCTTTTTTTCAATAATATAGTATGGATTGAACTAACAAACGGCAATACAACAATAATATCGATAGATTTAAGCTCAAATTTTGATTTCATTGATACTTTTCACGATGAAAACCCAAAAGTTTATGGTATCGTACTAAATAACCCAATACCTCAGATTGATTTTCGACCGGTGGCAAGTGGATATTTTTTAGAAGTGGCTTCAGAACGAGGACCACTTGTACCTTTACAGGTGACTTTTTTTTTGCTCAATTAAAATAACTTGATCCCTTAATTTCAAACCTTAAAATTTCTTTCCAATTAAAATTATTTTAGGTCGATCTTATATATAAGCCGGATTCTCTATCTGACAAATCTCCATCCGTAGCTCTGTGGGAGATATTACGCGAATTCCATTCACTCTCCCATCTGGACACCACACCCGTGAAAAACAATTGTTTACCGATGCATTTACAAATAGTGGAACGGTTGACTCGCGTGCTTTTGGGCGTGACAATTTGATTTTATTGATTGATTAACACCTTTTTGGATCATTATTAATTTATTACTAAATCGATTAATATAAACATTATTACTTCGAACAGCATTCCTTTATTCCCATTCATTCACTCCAAAAGAAGTATTTATTCTTTTCCATATAATCATTAATCAGATGCAATCACATGTATATATAATTTATTGATTGCAACATTGTAGATGAATTTTTGTCATTATAGTTATTATATATATATATATATATATATAATAAATTTTGGACTTTATCTTTTTCTATTTCTTTAGATGTATTTAAATATTATTTGAATTTGTTGTTTATTGCAAGTGTGCACAAAGCGGCTCAGGATAGAAAGAGTCTGCGTGATCCAAATATTGTTTTCTAAAGAGATTATGAGATTGTCAAAGCTATGTGTGAATATGTTTTAGAATTAATTCAATAGCAAATAATATCGATTGTTCTTTGGTTGATAACAAGTATATATGAGTAGATCATTCACTGTTGATATCATTTTTATTACGTCGTGTGATAAGTCCATTTTTAATCTTCCATATCATATTCTAATGATACCACCGAGTTAGATCTTAGATAAATTTAAACAAAATAATTAATTTGAATTAGGATCAATTTAATTGTAACAACTGTTACATGTAACAACTTCAATATTAATCAATCACATATCCAGAATCTTAACCCTAACTCTAACTCAGGTCCTAATTAGCCAATTAAAATGCGGTTGTTACAAATAACAGTTGTTACAAATACATTTATTCTTTGAATTAAACAAAAATATTCCAAAGAATCTCACCGATTCTTTGCAGCTTCAATATCTACAGCTTCAAATTCGTCATCGTCATCATCAACTGAAATTATGCCGTTATTCCCATTATTATTGTAATTAATATTATTGTTGACGTTTGCCTGAATATCGACCTCTTCAAATTCATCGTCTTCAATCTCTTCAGTTTGATTGCTGTGATGATAGGTCGATGGCGTACTAGAAGCGGTCCCTTGCTGATATTGTTCATAGTAACTGGTATAATCTATTTTTAATTTAATCAATATATAGATAAATGCACGAATATTCAGAGAAAATCATCAAACTACGGTTGATAAAATGAAATGATGATAAAACTTACAGCTCTCGCGTTCACTGCTTTTTTCTGCCAATGACTCCACTTCAATTTCATTATTTTCAACCTTTTCTTTTCTCGGAGTCTCTTCAATTATTGTATCATTTGACACGGTGCTTCGTCTATGCCACGCAGGTAACTCGTTTTGTTGTCTTTAAGAGATAAAAATTAATTATTATTCGTATTATTAAATTTGAGAGGAATACGACTTGATGATTGTCAAGAAAAATAAAATAAAAACCGTTTCTTTTCAATCTCTGCTTCCTTTGATTTCTTGGATGCCTCGCTGTTTTCTTGGAATACGACAACAATATCGGTAAGGAGCCCACTATCCTGAGCATATGCTAGTTCTTTATCCTCTGATAAATAAACACAATGCAATTAGTATCTCATTTTTCACTAATAATTGAACAAAGGATAATTTTTTAGACTTACGTGGCGATTGAGAAGCACCTTTCGTCAATGGAGTTGGACCCAATTTCATGGGGTTGGAACTATTTTTACATATAATAAAATCAAATATATGTAAAGATCTAAGCTAGAGAGTAATATATCAAAAATCAACTTACGAGGGTATCTTCATAGTGTCTATATCCTTAAGCAAATCAATAATAGGTTTTGATTGTTCCATAAACCTGTAAAGAATAATTGTATTAGAGAAAAGGCAAATACAAATCATGCTAGAAATATTTCATAAAATCTAGAGAATTTTCTTCTACCTTCCATGCAACTTCTCCGATCCCTTCAAATTATCTGCGTTATCATTGTGTTGTATCTCGGAACGACATACGTCACACGCCAAGGTCATATTATCTTGTATTAGAAATTTTATATCCAGCGCGGCAAACGTCTTTCCGCAGTTTGAGCAAAGATAACCTTTATTATTTTGCTCCTATAAATATCAAAAAGGATGAGAAAAATGAAGTCTCAATTGTAAAAACGAATCTATATATAAATATTACTCACGCTTTGCATTTTCTCTTGGACTTTTTGACGGATCTGGTAAATTTTCCATTTTGTCACCATTACAAATTGATGCCAATCGATATAATAATACATCTTGGGAACTGGTCGTTGATCGGCTTTCTTTGGTTCCATTTTCGTGTGTCTTTGAGGAACAACCATCGAAATCAATTTAATACAGGCAAAATAATCCTAATAATAATTCTTACGTGTTTAACATTTTAGCTTCCTTCAAAGTTCCACATAATTTATGAATTTCTTTAATTGTAAGACCTATAAATTTTTTGACGGAACTCTTTTTAACAACTTAATCTTCCACCACAATTCACGACGAATCTCTTAATAATTAGAAGACCTATTGACTTTGACAACTCCTCATCATTAATTCTAAAAGGTGTTTTATTTGTTTGACTCAGTTAAGTATTTCTTTCGGGAAAAAACACAACTTCATTGAGCATGCACATACAACTCATGTTTGGTCAGTTCGTCCATGATAACTATATATGGGTTTTCGAAGAATGCGCGAGATACACGTTTGACTAGAGAAACTAGGGGTTGCATGTTTATAGGCTCGGGTCCCTCCATTTTTGTGGAATTCTTTCTCGAAGCTTATTCGAAATTGAAATCGTGAATGTTAACACTGTAGATTGGATTGAGCTGAATATAGATTTATTTTTTAAAGTATATTAGTATTTGGCTTGCAGGATAATCTCAACTCTGTCATCTAAAATCAGATTATTCCATCACCTTTTTTCAAAAAACTTTGAAATTTTACAGTATCTGTACTTTGTATCACAGAAAATATTTTGTAAAAAAAAATGATTTTAGGAATTGGTATAGATATTCTTCACACACCACGTTTTTTATCACTTCTAAACAAAACTCCAAACTCGTGCGAGAAGTTTGTGAAACGTATTTTGACTAGCACCGAATTAAATGAATTTCCATATTATATAAATGGAAAATACACGTATAATAATGATCGAGTGAATGAGAAAGTCTTGTATTTTTTGGCTATCAGGTATAATTAAAGTGGACTTTAATTGTTACTTGGTGATAAAAATTAGAATTTTTAACGCTTAAAATGTAAGATGGACGATAAAAGAAGCAACTTATAAAGCACTATATCCATATTACCGATTATCTTGGAAAGATATTTCTATTTTGAAAAGTGACGGTTATTATTTTTCTTTTATTGTATTTTTTTGAATTTATAGATTTATACTGACTGATTCTTATTTTTTTAAAAACAATAATTAAAAGAAAAAAAACCTTATCTTCTCTTTCACAATTCTGAAAAAATACCAGTTTCTCCAGGAATTAAAGCACATATTTCTGTAGCACATGATGGTGAATATGTAATTGCACAAAGTTTATTGGAAAACTGAATATTATAATTTAACTATTAATAATTTTAATATAAAATAATACAAATAAAATTTATTATTCTAAATTAATAAATTTATTAAAACATATTGTATATTATATTAAAATTTCAAGTAATTTCAATAATTAATTCAAAAAAATATAAAAATATAAAAAACAAAATTTAGTGTTAAATTGAAAATTATTTTATTTTATAAAAATACAAATATTTTTATATCTAGTAAATAATTTTATATTCTTAATTCATCAAGTTAAGATATATTTAATAATATTATTAATAATTCAAATTAAATGATTTTGATATTATTAAATATATTTTAACTTAATGAATCTAATAATATAAAATTATTTAATAGATACAAAAATACTTGCATTTTATAAATATAATATTTTTATATAAATTTCAATTTGATATTAAATTTTATTTTTTATATTTTTATTTGAATTGGTTATTGAAATTACTTGAAATTTTAATATAATATATAGTTAGATTTCGATATAATAAATCTTTTGAGCTAGAAACTTTTTTCATTATATTGAGTTTTTTTATGAAATTTCATTATATAAAAACAATTTTAAAACAAAAGCTCTTTTTTCTTTCATTTTATTATATTAAGGTTTGACTATATAAAATGTTTTAATAAATTTATTAACTTAAAATAATAAATCTTGTTTTTTTATTGGTTTTGTATTATTATATTTTAAAAAGTATTTATAATATTTTGCTAAATCATTATAATTATTTTTTTATTGCTAAAATATAACTTTATTCTTAAATGATTATATTTATAAATTATTTTTAAAGTTACAAAAATATTTATTTTTGTTAAAGAAAGATTTTTGAGTTTATTTTAATTACTTACAATATAAATATATATTATTTTTAAAAATTATATTAACTCTTACTTATAATTTAATTAGTTATATTATTATTTTGTCTAACTTAATACAATCAAATTTTTCTATAGTCACCATTCACAAAAAAGCAAAATTTGGTAACTATAAAGAGAATGTGATTATAAAGAAGTTTTTTTACTATATTTATATATAAATAGAAAAATAAAATAGAATAATTATAAATAGATATGACTATAAATAGGTGTAATTATAGAGAGATCTGACTGTAAATAATGTAGATAATAGTGAAAATATACTAAGTTTAGCAAAAAATATTAAAGTAAATATTGTACTTGTAAAAGAAAAAAATAACTGAGTGTATAATGAAATCAATATAAAAAACAGTAAAGATGACTGTTTAATAAACTTGAATTTCATTTTTTTATTTTACTTTAATATTATAATTAGAATTACTACTTGTAAAAAAAATAAAGTTATTTATTAATAATTTTTATATACTATTAGTTATATATAATTATATAATTTGAAGTTAAGATTAATATATCAATACTTAACTCAAAAAATCTAATACTAATCAATAATATTATATGATTTAAACTTTTAAAGATTATTCTAATAAATTTATTTTTTGATATTAATATTTCATATTCCAAACTATTTCTTATACTTAATTTGATAAAAATTGATAAAATTTAGAATAAAATTAAATATTCCTGATCATTTTCTAATATTCTATATCTGAACTATTTTTTATATTTAATTTAATAAAAACTAAATAAATTCAGATACTCCTAACAAATTTCTAATAAATAAAATAAAATTAGAAATAAATTTATTTATTCATATTTTAGATATTCTAAATTATTTTCTATATTTAATCTAATAAAAATCTTAATATCAATTTTTAATTAGCTTTTATTAAACTTAAATTAGATTAGTATTTTAAAATATAATCTGAAAAATATCTAAGATAAGTCTGAGATAAGTATAGGATAAGCCAGTTAAAATCATTATTTAATTTATTCCAGACTTATTTCAAATATTTTTTAGATTATTTCAAAATATATTTTAAAATATTAATCTAATCTAAATCTATTAAAAGTTGGTTAAAAATTAATATTAAGATTTTATTAGATTTATATTAGATTAAATTTTCTTGAATTCTAAAAAGATCTTGAAAATTTCCAGAAAATAATCTAAAAATCCAGAAAAATATATATTAATAAAATTGAAAATATTTATATAAGACAAAAATTTTAATTTTTATAATATTTTATTAATAAAATATGCATGATTTCATAATACTATTAGTCACTGTATTTCTTAAACTATTTCTTTTATGAATTTGTACTATATTTCAAATAGATAAAAGTTAATAAATAAAATATATCTAAATAAATATATTATTTAAATTAAATAATATTTATTATATTATAAACTTAACTTAATAAAAAAGTTTACTTATTATACCGAAAATAATTTTATTAGTAAAAAATTAAGCTTTTATTCTTCAAACTATTTATTTACAAATTTATTCTGAATTTTCAAATGGTTTAAGAGATAAATTTATTATATTTTAAAAAATAAAATATAAACTTCTTTTATTTTATATCAAAATAAATAAATTTCTGTATTTTAATATAAAAATAAATATATTTTAATTTGAATTTTGTAATAATTTAATAATTGTTATATAAAATATAACAATAAAAATTCCAAAAAATTTTATAATTAATTATTTTAATTGGATATTTAACTTATTTCTTATATAACATTTTGTAACCAGCTAATTTTAGATTTTTTGTAAACATGTTTATATTTTCAGTTTATTTTTGTCAAGATATTCATTTGTAGATTTTTAACGTTATTAATTTTGTGATTATTGTTGTTATTATTAGAAACATAAGACTTATCTCTCTTTTCACTTGACATGAAATATTAGGAATTTATTCTTATCTATATTATAATCTAATATTCGCTCTCCTCCCCCCCAAAAAAAATCAGGTAATAAAAAAACTTCACTTATTATTTGATTTGTTTTTTTTATTCTTTTCAATACTTTGATAATAACATTTCTTAAAGCTTCAATAATCTTCCTTTATATAAATTAATAAATTATAACATATTCCAAGTAACAAATGACTTTCATTCGTTATAAAGAATTTTCTAATAATAAAATCCGCTGCGACTCTTCTGGTATCAAATGTTCCAACTTTTTCAAGATAGTATTAAATACAAACTGTATTTCACCATGTGGTTTCAATTCACGACTAATCTCTAGCAGCCGAAATAAACGTTTTATAATCTAATAAAAATTATATCGCATCAAAAATAAAGTTAATAGAAAATGTATAAATAATGTTATAATGGTAATACAGCATTAATTAAATAAAAACCTGTTTTTGAAAGTCTTTGATCTGAATATCCATGGCATCAACTTCATTTGGGACTAACAAAGTTAATCGTCTTATACTCGCAGAATCTTGAACAATCTGTGAAAACTTGCTGTCATCCCATTCCTCCTCTTTTCTCATCACATTTTCTCTAATCCAACAAGTATTCACGATTCCACTTAACACAACTTTAACTCCATACTCCAAGATGTCAAACTCGTCTGTTCTCTTACTACTCACCACAATCAAAACATCGAGTATTCGAACAAGCCACGAGAGCCTCAACTGTTTTGTTGTCTGATTATTCCCACCAATCATAGCAAGACAAATTGCTCGGGCAATCCAAGAAAATAATAAAAGTTTTGAAGATGATTGATGCAGCTTGTGATTTTTGCCAACTGCGATTAAACATTCTTGCAATAATTGGGTCAGATATTTTGATGAGTCTAGATGAAAAAATTCTGTAAAGGTGCAAACTACCAATGTGTATTTTTTCAAGTCGTCAGTTTTGCTTTGTGATAGGTCGTCGATCGTAGAGATTGCACATTGCGTTATCAATCGAGTTACACGTATTTGTTCCGAAGTAATAGGTGAAGGTAATTTTGAGTAGATTATTTTCAGGATTTTTAAAAGATCCTGATAGAGTGCAGTCACTGCTCCGACAGAGTGTGCATCATTTGTATTAGGCGATACGAGATGATCAACCATCGTCGTAAGGAATATCACTTGTAATTCCTAATTTCATAAGGATAAAAAATTTAAAATGAAACCACATAAAAATATATAATAACAGAAAGAAGAGTAAGAATGACATAACAACCTGCACTTCTTTACTCGCATCATCCTTAAACAAATCCGCAACAAGGCAATTAACAATTTCAAGAACACGTGAATTGGGGACAACCACAGTTTTACTAATATCCATTCGTTTCTCAGTCAGAAATTTATTATCTTTTCCTTGAGACGGTCCATCCTTCTTACTTGCAAATCCAGAAATTTCCAAAATTTTCGCAAGACCATAATTAATAAGCAGCTTTTTAAACTCGATTTCTTCGTCGTTTTTTTCAATGTCAGAGAAGCCAATCAATGTGTATGCAAGAAATTCCATTAGTGGGAAGGACTTCGAAGCGTGTCGAGATGCCATCAAGATAGATTGATGATGTATTTTATATTTTTTGAATGTCGGATTGTTGAATTTGGATAAAAGGGTAAACCAATTGACAGGAGGCAGAGCACAATTTAAGGAAGTAAATGTGGATAGAATTAAATTAGCTGATTCTATGGATAGTGGTGAATCGGCCAGGTTTCCTTCTAAATATCAAATAAAAGATTGATTCAAAGGAACAATGCATAAAACAGTATTAAATCAACACTACTTCTTACTCGTGGCAATTTCAGTCAATCCATCGAAGAAAGCTCTCAAGTAACTCGTTATAGGCAATCGAGAATAATCCTTTGGTTCAGAACTAATACTTGCAATATTTGACACACTCTCACCACTACCTTCTCTATCAATTGCCTCAACTTTTTTAAATAATCGCGCCAAAATAATAGCAGCCAGCCGACCTCCTTTCAAGTCACTAATCATGGCTGTTTCTGTACCAAGTCCAGCAATACTCGTCAAACTGTTCACCACCTCAGTGATATTTTTTTTTGATGAATTTTTGAAAAAATGAGTATTTCCAAAGCCATCGTTGATCGATGGTAATAACACAAAATCAATTCCTGCGAGTGTGCCTAACGTGATGATGGATGTATGACGACTGTTTGATGTCGAATCAGGAGAAGTTAGTATGCGTAAGTGTGAGTGTATCTGTGCGTTGAATGATGATAAATGATGTGAAGACGGATCAAGTTCCAGGCTTTTTTGGAGAGCATGTGAATATGCTTGTGCAAAATGAAAGTAGTGTTTTTTCCACTTTATCAAGAGTATCAAAAAATCGTAATTATTAATTTAATCAAAGTAAAAAAAATCTTTAAGATTGTATGAATTTGGTAAATACCGCTTTCCCAGAGATTTGCATCGCTTTTTCTAATAAATCTATAACTTCCCCCTTATATGACGTTTTCCCTTGCGAAAAGGCAAGAAACCAAACAGAGCCAACCACAAATTCTTTATTCCCGTCATCTTTGCCATTCATCTCTACAAAATCCCGTAAAGCTCCCAACGCTTTCTGATATACATTGTTTATCAACGGCTCTTCCTCGCGATCAATGTTTGCTAACCCGAGCATGCTGCCCAGAAAGATGTTTAATGGCAAATTATCGTTTGATAAATAATCGTAGATATAAGAAACGGTGTTTGTACATAGAGTTGACATTGCAACTGTTTTAGTTGGGGATGAGACAAGATGGGATAAAAGAATGCCAAGGCCATAACAAGACGCGAAAGGAGCCCACTCAGAAGTGGAACTATATAAAAAATTATGAATAATTTATGTAAAGGATAATGTTAAAAGGAATATGAATTTCATCCCCACCTTGAATTTTTGTCATTAAGTTGTTCAATCATTGTCTCGACAACTTTACGCGTCAACCTCTCATCCATTGAAATTAATGTTGCGAGGTGTCCTATAGTAAGCATTACTGCAAACTGAACCTCATCACTAGAGATAAGACTCCAATCCTGTTTTTGATCATGTATGGCTGATGCGGTTTCAGAGACATAGTTTCTAAGCAAATGGCGTAACGTATTGCCTGCATGCGTCTGTACAGACAATATATTCAAAGATTTGAGAGAGAGACATAAACCTTAATTAAAAAAAATGAAGAAATGGTCGTATAAATGAATTTACTCCTACTTTAAACATCTGATTTGGAATTGATTGTTTTTTAGTTTACCTGTCAAGGACAAGATAACACTCTGACACACAACCGGAAATTTGGCCTCTGTCAATCTTTCAAACAAATCATTCACCAAGTTCTGTACTGTGCTTTCCTCGTCGTTCTTTCCATGAATTATAAAATCATGTAGCCCATTTTCAAAAAACCTCCACCAGTAATGTATCGCATTAACCCTCACAATCCAATGATCAGTTAACGCGATATCCTGAATTCCATTAATCATCATTCGATAAAACCGTGTCGATTTGATATCTACTTGGGAATTATGTTCAGACGGTGGTAAAGTTGGCCGATAAGCAATTAACGAGGCAATCGCATAACCATTGCGAAGCCCAGGATTTACGGTGCCGCTTTCCCAATCTTTAACAACTTTTTGCGATATATTAAGTAAGTGTTCCTTAAATTGTTGAATTTGGCTTTTATTTACTTCATTTCCGGTGCTCGTCACGACACTTGCAGATTTACCGCCCGAAAAGTTCTTGAATAATCCTCGACGCATATTATCAATCTCATGATGAATCAATTTATTGAATACCAATTGCCATTCTTCGACATTAGAAACCTCAAGAAGTATTTTCGAGAGCAAAATTTTGGGATATTCAGGGAATATACTCAAGATATCGGGCCCTCGGAAATAAGATAGGGCACGTAATGCATGCTTCAAAATACTTTTATTGGATGATATCTCAAATAGAACTGTATCAACAACTTCCGGCAATACGATGGATGACGAATAAGAAGGAAATATAAGCGGTCGAATATATGATGATAGTAAATCTTGTTTGAAGTCAATATACACTTCGGATTCTATGATTTTCATTTTCATTGGTAAATATATTGAAGAAATCCTATCGAAAAACACGTAATAATCATTAAATTACCGTCGCTTTTTACAGCAGCAATTTGATAAAATTGGCATAAGCTCGAGATTATATCAATATTCAATGGATTTGTTTGCATTACTGCATCGGCAATATATGATAATATTACAGTCCATGCTAGGAAATAGAAAGTGAGTTTTTTAATATATATAATTTCATATTCGAAAATAATACCAAAGAATTACCAGCACGAGGATCCACAACATCAGCTTCGACACTAGCATTCAAAGCTTCAATGATCAAAGACATGCTTGTAGGCAATAAAACAACAGATTGAAGTAAGCTCGATAAGAAAGGAATTAATTCTTCTGCATAGTCTCGCGCTTTTGCTTTACAAATATCTCTTGAAAGGGATTATATAAAGATAATGTCAATAGAAAATACATACAAATAAATATTTTGAAACTAATAATATAAACCTTATTGTAACCAAAACAGCGATTTCCATTTCATATTCTTCAGAATGTTGGTCCAGAATTTCTTTAAGCTTTCTACGCTGCACCCACTCACTCAGCACGAATCGCAAAGATCTCCAGCATCTTTTTTGTTTTTCCCATAACTTGTGCAAGAGCCTTACTCCTACCGCACCCAACTTCATATCTTTTTCGGTTTCTTTTCTTTCGACCAAAGACAACGATAATTTCAATAATTTAGCAGTAATTATTGGATCATTCGGAGAAATCAGTTCAGGAAAAGAATGGTAAAAAATATGAAGATGAATTGAGCTAAGGGGGTCGTTACTAAGTAGGTAAAGGATAATAAAGAAAATTGTAATTTTTTGATTTTGAGCAAGTTCTGGATTATCAATGAATGCAGTAATAGTAGAAAGAGTTTTTATGCGAATCTCAGGATTAGGGTGAAACAAATAGGATGTCAAGAATAGTAAATCGGATGGTGAATTGCGATTGAATAATAAAGAGGGGTTCGTTTTAATTTGTGAAGTGGCCACAAATAGTTTGACAAAACGATTCGTGGCAGCTAGAATGTCAGCAAGAGTTCCAATTACACTTGGAGATTTAAGCAAGGCTGATACCTGGATTAAACAATTAAATTTATATTTTAATAAACGCCAACTCTAAAAAAGTATCAAACTACCTCTTTTTCAACTTTTTGTTCTGCATTTGAGAGAAACCGATCATGATCTGTGGTTTCACGATACTTTTCAATCTTTCGAGTTAATTCCATAGCCTGATTCCTAACAGTTCCTGGCCCCAGCTCAGCAACCAGCTGGAACAAAGGCAATATTACAATGTCAATCAACATTGGCGGTATTTTGTCATCTGCTGCTTCAATTTGTTTTTGATGCTGCTCTTGTTTTCTTAATGACTCATCCAAAAGATCTAGAATTAAAGTTTGTGATTCGATAGACTGAGCATCCAGCAATAAATAGCAAAGTGCAGGCCAAAAGAGAACAGAATTAGGCTCTGAGAGTATAGTCTGCGTTTCATTTTGCAGATTAATCAGCTGTGATAATAGGCGGAGATAATCATTGAGCGAACGTTTATTATAGTGAGCATCGCATAGTAGGGAGAGAATTTGTAGTCCAAGTGATGAGCTGTATTCTCGTAAAAAATTATGCGATAAAGAATTTCGAATGTAAGGGACGCGTAAAACGTGAACCAAAGACTGAACAAGGTGAAGTTGAGAGCGCTCTGTATGCTGATCGTGGGAAACAAGTGGGATCTTTTGCGATACTCCAAGTAAATAATATAACAATTGCTCACGAAACGTTCTAAATAAATCATCATCAATTGTATTTTGAAGAGACCGAAAAAGCAAATTAACAATTTCCAGAGACCATTGTTTTTCAACACCTATTCCACCCAAAAGTACAAAATTCAAAAAAGGCTTCAACATTTCCAACGCGTTACTGAAAAATTCTGATTTATCTGCTGAGTTAACGATAGCCAACCTACTAGGCTCAAATATCAATTCTAATTGCGAAAGTAAGGGTACCCATGTCTCAGGCTTTGTTGTCACAGCAGTAATAAACGGATGCACTTTTCTACCTTTAACGCTAAAAGGATAAACAGTATGAATTTGACTTTCAAGCTGAAAAACGAGCACACTAGTTATTCCCTCAAGCAAGCTAATTACTGTTAGACTATGAGAGGGAGCTGTAGCTAGAGCGTCGGTGAGCCCAGTGAGCACGTCCAGCCAAGGTAACGCTTCCGCGCGAACAAGAGAAACTAGCCCAGAAACCGCATTAGAAGAAATAATTCCCTTAAGAGAGTTCACTAAAGACCATAGTTGTTTTAGAGTTGAAGGCTTGTTGCTTCCTTTTGGAGAAACGTCTGCTGAAGACGAGTTGTTTAATATAGAAGTTGCGAGAGAGCGAACGGAATTTATTTGTATTGAACGATGCTGTAGCTCCATAAATTTTCAACTTTTGAGACATGTCAAGTTTAAGATAATTTGGAAATAGATTCGTCGATCTTCAATTTGATTAAAGTGGCAATTATACGATATTTTTAAATCACCATGGATAACGAATCACCAACGTTGTATCTCTACTTTGTCGCTTTCGTAGCTTCTCTAAGCTCCCTTCAATTCGGCTTTCACGTAAGTAACAATATCTACCAAATACTAATCCATTAAATTTGACTTTCACATAAGTAACAATATCTACCATTAAATTCCGTTTTCCAAATTTGAAACTTTGCCAACCTACAGATCGGAGAACTTAACTCGCCTCAAAAAGTTATTTCCTGTGAGAGTCTACCACCAGACACTCATAACTCATCGTTTCCCTCATGTATACGAATGACCTCTATACAATATGCATTTGTAACCTCGATATTTAACCTTGGAGGTTTAATTGGCTCGTTGTTAGCATCACGTGTCGCAGATAGTAAAGGAAGAAAATGGACGTTGTTTTATAACAACTTATTTTTGATTTTGGGACCTTTGTTCATGGGATCTGCATTTTCGGTTTTTTCGTTGGCTGTTGGACGTGCACTTTCTGGGATTGGGTCTGGTGTGGTGAGTTGTTTTATTGATTATATAAATTGTCAGGATTTATTAATGTTGATTTGTTAATGAAATATACAGGTTACTGTAGTTGTTGCCATGTATTTATCGGAAGTATCTACGCCAGAGTATAGAGGCACTTTTGGTAAGGCTTTATAAATAATTATATTTCTTTTAATTTATGTTAATTTTATCGAAACAATATCCATCATAGGTGTAATGAATCAACTTGGAATTGTTATTGGAATATTATTTGCACAAGTGGAAGGACTTTATCTTTCAACGATTCCCGGATGGCGTCTTATTTTATTGACCGGTGGAATTATAGGATTAATACAGACGATTTTATTGGGATTCGTCGTTGAATCACCGAAATATCTTGCCACATTACCAGATGGATATACAGCAGCGAAAAAATCTTTACAAAAATTACGCGGGACATTAAATGTCGATTCTGAATTAAATAGTTGGAAGCCGATGGCTGCTGGCGTGTTAGAAGGATTAATATCTGGAAACGAAGATAACTTTGAAGTTGATTCTCCATCTGTAGTAGTAGATGGTGATGATGATAATAATAATTCGGAAACACCAGCTGTAGTTTTTCATGCACGCAATCGAGATGCTCATGATGACATTAATTTCTGGAAATTTATTTCAAATTCACATTATCGACCAGCCTTAATTGTCGTTCTTTTACTTCAATTAACACAACAATTCTCCGGAATCAACGCGGTGATGTTCTATTCGACTACAATCCTTGGTGAAATTATACCCGACAAAAGTGAGCTTGTCACAGTCTATATCAGCATCGTAAACACCATAATGACAGTAGTTTCGGCGGTACTAATCGACAAAGCTGGACGAAAAATCCTACTACTCTTCTCCATCTCTTCGATGGCTATGGCGAGTACAGTACTAGCATTTAGTATTACCCAAGATTACGCCATTCTTGCCGCGTTATCGATAATTTTATTCGTGGCTACTTTTGCGATTGGCCTCGGACCGATCCCGTTCTTGGTCACCCCCGAAATCGTCGATATTCATGCCGTCGCGACCGCTGCTAGTTTGGGTATGTCGTTGAATTGGATCTCGAATTTTACTGTCTCGCTTCTGTTTTTGAGCGCTAAGGAAGCGCTTGGGGGTAACGTTTTTTACTTTTTCACGGGAGTTTTGATTGTGGCATTTTCTTTGGTGAGACGGTATATGCCGGAGACAAAGGGAAAAACAGTTGAAGAGGTTTGGAAAAGTTGACACTGATAAATTAAACATATCAACAATTGTTTACTATTGTATCGCAGTTTATTATTATTTCACTATTAATTTTTGTTGCTGCAAAGTTTATATGAATGCTTTCTCGCGAAGCTTGATTTTACGATTCAACCAAAAATTCTTGACAAAATATTCATCGATAGTAATATATTGCGTATATAAAGAAACAATAAATATTATGAGCCGAATTTCTCTTCATATCCTGGCACGTCCCAATATCCCCTTTTAACCATTTTTTCGACAATTCGATCAATTTCTGGATTAATTTTTGCAACTTCATCAACCTTAAATTGCAAAAAAAAAATCAACCATAAGTACAAAATAGGGCACGGTGATCTTGGTGGAATACACTTTAAACTCACTGTAAGTTCTTCGAGTGGTCTAGCCGATTCGATATTTGTCAAAGTGAGTTGCAGCTCGCGAAGTTCCGAATCAAATTTCGATACTGTTTTTTCGGCTCTTTCCACCTTTATTCATCAATTATAAAATGGTTGTTATCTTTAACAACTCGTCATAAACATATTCGAGAAAAAAGTGAAAACCTACAGCCTTCGCCTCGAACTTTTCAATGATCTTCAACTGACTACTCAAATCAACCTTTGTCGGTTTGAAACTATTAAATGCCTTTTCGGCTTCATTAACCACCGCTTTATTTTTCAACTTTTTTCGGTATTCCTCGAAATCTATTTGAGTCGGTTGCTCTCGTAATGAGTTGACAAGACGTTTCGCTTCTTCGTTGCGTTTACGAAATGCGATTAAGGCGCCGACTGTTTCTCGTGTTAGGCCTAGTGATACGGTGAGTTTTGACCAGTCTATGGCTGCTACTGCTCGTGCAGTGCCCATTTTTTATTTGAGGTTTGGAGAAAATTATTGATTGAAACAAATAACGATAGATAATATCGTTATCGTTGTTATAAAGCACTAAATTTATCACATGACGCCTCAAAATGTACGACCAATAATAAAACAACGTATATGTTTATTTTTTTTAAAAAAGTACATTGAAGATTACTTTTTCAATCAATCAATTATATCACTGGCACGCGATCAAACTAAAAGTTGCAGCCTCTCTGCGATCGCAAGTTGTATACGTGTCATATTTGCAAGATAGACGACCATGAGCAAGTCCTAAGTGAAAAGAAAACCAACAATTAAATTCCAAGTATAAATAAATAAAAATAAATAAATAGACTGGTGAGTTGCTGGTTACTTGTAAATGGCTGTTAAACATTTTTTCGAATTCTGTTTTATCAATTTTCGGAACTACTGAAATCGTATCCATAAGAAAACGACCAATTGTGTTATTTGCTGGCACACTTCCTTCCTATCAGACGAAAAAAATATGCATCAAATTTTATCAATCAATCAATTCGATTCAAGTCGAAAACACACTTACCAGAACTTTATTTACATAATCCGTCACTCTTTCCAACATTTCTTGTACTGTCAAAATAGCTTTTTCGAGATTATCCATATCAGAGGTTAGCGAAGTTGTTCGCGCTGGCTCGTTCATTGCTGATGCGAGTAGATCAACTAAAAAATATAAAATAACTTTGTTGATTTTCGGCGCTTACTTGAAATGAAGACAAATCGCATATAGAAACAAATACCTACGCCCACTCCGTTCAGCGTTAAAATATTTAACGTCACATGGAACTGGAAGGAACAAACAATTTTCCGGTTTACCCGAAATTCCAATAGGTGCACTTTCAAATAAAAATATTCATAACCATTAAAAATAATTTATGATAATTATATAAAACATATATATCTAGAGAATTGAGATTAAATGCTAAGATACCTTACATATGTTTTCACACCCAACAGCTTTTCATCGTTTTTCAAAGCAGTATCCATTGTCAAATGAATAGCTTGAAATGGCAACACAGCTTTAGAATAGAAATCTTGGATGAGAGCATTCCATTGATTTAGATTAGCGCCTGTTGCGTACCATCCAACAATGAGTTCTTTTGGGTTTACTTTTTTATGTAATTCAAACATATTGTGATGATATTCCATATCTACTGCCACCTAGTTATTATCCAGTAACCAGACACCTTCCGAATTTAATATAAACTCATGTTGCAATAAAGAAAAAAACGAGAAAAGATAGCTGATGATAACCTGATCTTGTGTTTCATTATGCGGAACAGGAAAACAGTTTCGCACTTCTACCTCACTACCGTCTTCACTTCTCACTCCCAGTAGGGTACCTATAACTCGATCTTGATTCTCTTGTCTACGTAAGAAGTGGTCAAGAATGGAAAAAAGTACTACAGGGTTTACGGTGACGGTAAAAGACCGACTTTGAGGAATGACAAAGCCGGTTGTAGTTGCTGGCGAAAAGGAAAGGTTAAGTGCAGAGGTAGCAGCATTTATTGGCATTTTTCTTAGAATATTATACAGTATAGATCAGATAGAATATCTCATTGAAGATCAATGTTAAAACGTTACCCAATCCCTAGGGCAGTGTTGTCGCTTGGACGTGAATCCAGCAATTTAATTGGTTGGAAATACGCGTAACCGATTTGCATTTCATATAAATCTTATCATCCAAATATTACAGTCAAACCTCGTTTTCTTCTTTAGCCACTTAAAGAATTATTAACATTATATCAAAAATCAGTGAAAGACTCACTAAAACAAAAAAATATACATATTTTTTACATATTTTTGACCTAAAAGATACGTTAACTTTCGAGAAAAGAGAAATTAACAGTGTCTTTAGGGAAAAATTCAAGAAAAGTATCAACTTTTTTTTATTTAAGATGATTTACTCTGCTAAACTGATAAAGTCAAAACTTCGTAAAATTATATATCCGCGGGTGACCACACAAAGGATGATAATTTTGCTAATTTCTGAGATTTTTTTAATATATAACATTATGGCTACATATATCCTATGAAATTTATTATCAAAAATCTATTTCACAATATACATATATAGAAAGTTCACAGCTTTAGACCTGCTCATACTCCCGGGATATTTTATCTCCCTGGGGTGGCTCTTTTTTCTGGGGTAATCTGCAGAAATATATTCAAGAATGCGCTACAGAAAATAATGTAGAATATCTCATTGAAACTAATTACAATCAATCCTCTGATGATGACCAATCCTCTGATGAAGATGATGTTGACAAAAGTGACGAATCTGTTAAAGATTTGTCACTTTTGGAATTTAATAGTCATGAAATAAAAAGAATTTCTCATGTAATTTTCATTTACACAAGTTTTATTGATTTGATATTGAAAATAAAGCTATTAATTATCGCTATATTCTATTAAATCAGGTTGTAGTTGAATGTCTAAATATGACAAAAGCTGCCTCACTTATCTGCAAGGTCTTCTATCTAGTGGGGTAATCCACTCAAATTTCCTCAAAAAATATCAACAACCGCTATACGAAATTAAGAAGCACAATTGTCTTGATGAAATAAAACTATACGATTCCGACATTCGCGTGCTCTCCTTTTTAATGTTGTTACCCAGTGGACCAGTCTTTAGGTAAGTATTCTGCGGATACTGTAAATATCAGACAAGTCTGCGCGGTTATCAGGTTGGGTATTATTCTTTATATACTAACGTTTTCCTTTTTCTCTTTTGGTAGTCACTAGTCTTATAGGGGTGTTGGGCAGACGATTTACTCTAATAACTAGTCATCAATCAATCCACAAAGGATTTACTGAGATTGCTATGTAAAATGTAGTGATTTCAAACGTACAGTCGCCACAGAAAGTAACGCCCGATTTGGATGTGCAACATCAACATAAATTTAAATGTGGCGTTTTCCCCGATTTTTTTATTTCTTACACTGGGCGAAATTTGTTGGCTGTAAATATAACACACGCGCCTCCAGTTGACCGACTTTGACAAGGGTAAAATGGGTAATTTTTATTGGGGTTTTGAGTGCCGTGCAAGTCGCAAGAAAAATTATCCGTGAGTCGATGACGGGATAATGGTCTCTTGCCGAATACAAATAGGAAAAAAGAAAATTTACCAGGGTCTGGAAGGTCACAAGCTCTTAACAAGCAAGAAAAAAAATGCACATTTA